TTGCGCGAGTTCGATATCGCAGAAACCAGATCCCCATCATCACCGTCAGCCAACATCGCCGTTGGCGTGGCAGTGAACCACGCAGCACACACGCAGCCACAGCCAGCACACGTGCGCATGTTTGAGGCGGACGCCCACAAGCAGTCCAGGGACGGTCGTTTGAATTTCATGCTTCGCGGTGGGGGAGGAGGCGAGGGAGGCACAGGGGAGGGCACGGGAAAGGGCGGGGAGGCTAAGGGCGGGAATGGTGAAGCGGGCACTGCTTTCGAGGAGGGGGGGGGGGAACAGGATGTGGTGGAGCGGTGGCGAGTTTCGGCCTCGTGGCGTTCCCTCTCTTCTTGGGGCACGCCAGCTGATATTGTGCTACTCCGCCTCGTTCTGCTTTCTCCCCCCCGTTTCTCCTGCTCGTCTTCCCCCACCCCCCTTGTTCGCGTCCCTTCTTCCTCCCTCCGCCGCGGCCAGGGCGGTAGAGCAGCAGAACGCCATCACGAAGCTCAGCGAGTTCCTGTTCGGGCACATCGATCTCAGACGGGCGAGCGCCAAACAGGACATTAGGGATGGGGAGCCAGCCAAGCGAATTCCGCCAGGTAGCTTCCGTGTCTTTGTGGAGGACGATCAATGGAGAGGAAGCATGTTGCCACATAATTCCCACATGTCTTAAGCATGGCTCAATAATTGTTCAAAAAGGTAAAACGTTAAGCATAGTTAGAACATGTCTCACATAGTTTAAACACATGCTGAATTCAATGATGGGACTGTTGGGGTGTCCATTGTCATGGCATCCACAACCGTGTGTCTAGGCGAGAGGAAAGACTTGGCTGAGGAGGGTGGGGTGAAGGAGAGCCCGGCAGGGGGTCAGGGAGAGAAGGGTGGGGGTGGGGGGGGCGGCCCTCCCGGAGGACGGGAGGTCCCCACCCTCTAGGACGTGCGTTCACCCTTGTCCACATGGGCGAGGGGGCTCCTCCTCCTCCTCCTCCTCCTCCTCCTCCCTCCTCCTCCTCCCTCCTCCTCCTCCTCCTCCTCCTCCTCCTCCTCCTCCTCCTCCTCCTCCTCCCTCCTCCTCCTCCTCCTCCTCCCCCTCCTGCTCCTCCTCCCTCCGCCTCCTCCTCCTCCTCCTCCGCCTCCTCCTCCCTCCTCTCTCATCCTCCTCCTCCTCCTCCTCCTCCTCCTCCTCCCTCCTCCTCCTCCTCCCCCTCCTCCCTCCTCCTCTCCCCCCCCTCCGAAGTGCGAGGGGGTAATCAATGCCGAGACTCGGAGCTGTAGCCAGCCGCCGGGAGACGAAGACGGCAGACACCACGGAGCGCCAAGCGACGGAGGTTCCAGAGCACCCCGTGGGTGAGCCAGGAGAGCGAGCAAAATGCCCCATCTAGCCCCACAACCTCGCCGCACTGGACAGAAGAAGTGAAGCGGCTGCGCCTCCTGTAAGCAAGATCAGGCAGCACGCACCTCGGCGAGCCGCGCGTGCTGACTTCTCCGAGCCGGCGGGCGCAAGCGCTGCCCCAGTGAGCCTCCGTGGGGCACCACTCCCACGCGAGGCAGACCCTCCACGCACGCCCGGGCGGGCGACCTGGGCAGTTGCAAGGATGGAGAGGGCAAGGCGGGCAGAGATGGGCAAGAGCCGTGCGGCACTGCCGAACATCGGGGCTGCCCACGGCCCTCGGACAGGCTGCTGCCCGCCTGTTTGCTCTACGTAGGAGGGGACCCAGCGGTCCCCCCCCTCCCTCCCTCCCTCCTCCCGCCTCCCGCCCTCCTCCTCCCTCCTCTCCGCCCTCCTCCGCCTCCTCCTCTCTCCTCCTCTCTCCTCCTCCTCCTCCTCCTCCTCCTCCTCCTCCTCCTCCTCCTCCTCCTCTCCTCCTCCTCCTCCTCCTCCTCCTATTCCTCTTCATCCTTCCGCCTCTTCCCCGTCCTCCCTCCCCCCCTAACCTCCTATGCCTTCCTTGCCTCCCTGCCCCCTTCTGGTCGCTCCTCCCCTCCACGGGCGTGCGAGACGCCCGGAGCTCGCGGTGCCGCCTGGCACACGAATTTGACGAGGCAGCCTCTCGAATGCGCCTTGTGCGTTCGCTTGCCGCGTCGCCTGCCCGACGCCACATCAGCCGACGCTGTCGCGCCGCCCCCACGCCTTTCCAGAGCCCGTGGGACCTCGAGCTGCTTCGTGTTCAGAGCGTCTTCTCTTTTTGTCCCGTTCCCCTTTATCGCGTTCCCCTTCCTCGTTCCCCCCCCTTCCTTGGTTCTCTTCCTCGTTCCCCAGCTTCCTCTTCATAGAGACCAGGCGCTGAGGTCAGGACCACCCTGGGCTCAGGAGGGGCCCCAGTTGTCGGGGCGGCTCCTGCGGATCGAGGTCGGGGAATGCGTCCGTGGCTGAGGCATGCCGTGGCCGGGAAGGCTCTGTCGTTCCTTGCGCGTTCCTTCTGGCTAGCATTCCGCCTGCTCGCCCTCACAAATCTCTCCCTCCTCCTCCGCCTCCTCCTCCTCCTCCTCCTCCTCCGCCTCCTCCTCCTCCTCCGCCTCCTCCTCCTCCTCCTCCTCCTCCTCCTCCTCCTCCTCCTCCTCCTCCCCCTCTTGTCTCCCTCGGCGTCCTGCGGTGCGCTCAGAGGACCTCTCCCTCCCCCATTCCCCCTGCCTGGCCACGTGGGTCGCTCCAGGGAGGGTCTCGCCTCCGAGGATCGAGGGGGGCCAGCGTTATGTCGGGCCTGTCCCCCTACAGGGGGACTGTCGACGACAAATAAAAAAAATACACTAAAAATACCCCAAAAGGGTCAAGCAATATTCAAAAAATAGTCCCCAGACTATTTTTGGATTATTTTTTTTTTTTTTTATTATTTTTTTGAGGATATGTGTTATTTTTCATCGAAAATCCCCCTGTAGGGACGGAGAAGGCGGCGGAGGCAAGACGTCGGCGGGTCCGCCGGCGGAGAGTCGGCGGAAGCAGAAAGCCACGGCCATCCAAGAGAGGTGGCGCCGCTCTCTCGGGTTCCGGGTTGCCGGAACGTGCCGAGCATCGCCAGCCGACGTGTTAGATCAGGTGTGTGTGTGTGGTGTGTGTGGTGTGTGTGGTGTGTGTGTGTGTGTGGTGTGTGGTGTGTGTGTGTGTGGTGTGTGTTGTGTGTGTGTGGTGTGTGTGGTGTGTGTGTTGTGTGTGTGGTGTGTGGTGTGTGTGTGGTGTGTGTGGTGTGTGTGTGTGGTGTGTGTGTGTGTGCGTGTTCCAGGTGTGCAGCGGAAGGTGCGGGCGATTCCTCAGAGCGGGATGTTTCGTGGCGCTTTCAAGGGTGGCGTGTGCGTGAAGGGCTAGTGCCTCACTCGTTTCGCTGCTCACGCCGGCCAGCCTCCGCCACTTCACAATCGTATTCACTTCCCGCTGTGCACCCGGCATCTGCCGTGCAGGACCTCGAGGCCAGTGTCCAGGCGGCGCAGGACTTTGACGTCTTCGTTGTGCGCGTAAGGGCATCGTTTATCATGTTGGCGTCTCTTGCTTCCTGTGTATCGTACTCAAGTGCACGCGTGGCATATGAAGGGTATGTGTCGGACAGTGTGTATGGCGCTAGTGTACCCCAGCCCTCTCCTTGGTCGATTCCCAACGCTGCAGTCGGTTCGATGTTCGCCAGGATGATCTTGCTCATGATCGTACGGCACCGTAACAGCACCCACTGATGTCGTGATTCCAGCCGCCGGTCGGTGCACGGAGCGATTCGCTTCATTACGATGATATGGGCACGTCGTCCGCCCTCGGATTGTGAGTGGCCCCAGCGAGCGTACCGAATAGAGGCTTTTTGCGTGGCGCGATGATGCACAACAATCTGGGACATTAGCCGCCCTTTCTGCGGAAATCGCAGATATTTCAGAAGGCCACTGCTGACCGCAAGTTTGATTCTCAGCTGTCCAGCTATGCTTGCTCGACTGCGCCAGGCGACGTCTTTCCCGTACGCATGGTTTCCACGCGGTGATGTTGGACATTCGATGTTTCGGAAGAGGCGCCATGGGTTTTGACCAACAGAGGGAAGCCGTCTCTCTCGTTTAGTGTTCCGGCGGCTGCTTGTAATCATTGACGCTTCGCGCGTCCCCACCAGCCCATCCAGAGACGGTGCCCAGACGAGTTGCCTTGATCAGGACCGTGTAAAACCATGCAGTGGAACCAGTGTTGGATCAGCTTGGTCAGACCCAGGACGAGGAGGAGGATGGGGAGGTCGAGGATTAGAAGGACGACGAGGACGAGAAGGAGGACAAGGAGGAGGAGGAAGTGGAGGGCGAGGAGGAAGGACGAAGACGAGGAGGAGGAGGAGGAGGAGGAAGAGGAGCAGGACGAAGACTCTGGCAGCCGTCTTGGGATTTCTGTTGGAGGCCCTTGTCAGGTATTCTTGTGGCTCTCTCTAGCGGCCCTGTGGGGTCTCCCCCCTCCGAGGCCATCAGAATCGCCATGCGGAGCTCTCGTAGGGGCGCCCTCGAGGCGCTCCGGTGTCGGTTTGGGAGCCGCCTTGGGGGCCTCCTGGGGCCCGCTGCGGGCCTCCTGTGGGCCATCTCGGGGCCGTCTCATGGGCAAAGTCATGGTTGATGTGCTGCTGGGCATTGGAAAGGATTTGGACATCTTGGGGAAGCCCTTGAGGGGGGGGGGGCGCCGAGAGCACCTGGAGCCGCCTCGTGGTCGTCCTCTTGCGGCCTCTTGGAGGCATGTCGGAAACCATCTTGAACCACCTTCGGCTATCCTGGGCCATCTAAGAGACCATGCTTGGAGCATCGGGAGAGGCACCAGGGGTGTCAGGAGCCCCCCCCCCCTGGCCGAGGAACACCGTCGCTCTCGTTTAGTCTCCTGGCATCTGCTTGGAATGTGCATTTATTTTGTAGTTGAGTTTCCCGTGCACGTGAATTCCACGATTTCGGTCTGGCTCCATGGGCGGGCAGTTAAGGCGCCGCAGCGTAGCACTCCCATGGACTGCGAGTAGGCTCGCGCTGGGGAATTATGCAGTAATTCTGATGCACCTTGTCTGCGGCTTGGCTTCGTAGATCCAGGAGTCCACGAAGTTGGCTTTACCATGCAGCGTACCTTCGGCGCCCGGCTCGAGAGGGGGGGCCGCGGGCAAGGAGTCAGCGCTAGAGAGGTTGTCGTGGAGACTGTTCTGGGCAGCCAAGAGCTTGGCCCCGACGACCCGCAGACTTCGAGGTAATCCAGGGGAGGAACAGGTCCGATGATGCAACCTTTCTATATGTTTTTTCCTTTGGTTGGCCCTCCAGGGAGTCTCTCGTCGCCATCGCTGCTTTCGACTCGAAATTCTGGTGCGAATGCACCCCGGGAGAGGTCAGGGGAGTAACGTTATCGGTACTTTGTGGTATCTCCAGTGGTAGTGAGCAGTCGAGAACACTCCGAACACGTTGTGGGGCAAGGCGGAAAGTGAGGCCTCAGTCAGGCGGGGCGGTGGATTTCGCGGTAGCCGCAAGGGGCAAAGGGGAGGGCGAGGGAAGTGTCGAAGGCACGCAGACAGGCGATGTCACAGATTCCACTGCATAGTGTTCCCAATGTTCTTTGTGTTTGGGCCGTCGTTGTGCACACCTCCGCAATGTTATATCAACTTCTTGGTTTAAGCTTTGCACGTTGCTCGCCTCACAGGTTTGTTGCATGCTGCTCACCTCCACAATGCGTTTGCAATCGGCAGCCCTAAACAATGTGAGTAGCATTAGGTGCTGTGCTATATATATATATGTATATGTGGTTCAATCTACGTTTTGCAGTATATGGTGTGCAATATAGGTTGTCCAACCGGTGCTGTGCACTCTATGTGAAGAAGTCTGGGTAGAATAATGTGTGCGGCGCGATCTTCGTTGCGCAATATGGGAGGTACTATGTGATGTTGCGAGCCATCTAGGTGGTGCAATATATGTGGCGCAGCATCTGCGAAGCAATATATGTGTTGCCATACGTGGGTTGCAATCGACGTGATGCGACCGAGGTGGTGAAATATATAGGTTGTGCAGTCGATGTGGGACAGCATCTGTTGTGCCATATGTCAGGTCCCATGTATGTGTTTCAAGTTATCAGACGCACCTTGTGTGGCGCAAAATATGTCGTGCAGTTGACGTCTGTGCGCAGTGAGTTGTCCACCCCCCTGTCCGCGCAATCTTCCCATCCACCCACCCGCAAGTTGGTTTGCAAACTCCATGCGGCGGCGATTGCCAAGAGTGTTTGGAGTTGGTTGGCGCGTCTCTGCGGCCGCGCTAGCCCGCGCATGCTCGCGTGCGCAGCGGCCAGATAGTTTAGCGCTACCGACGCGGCCGCGGTGGCGCTGACCGCTGGGCACTTCTCAGCGGGCGCTTCTGTGCGAGTCGGCGACTTGGGGGCGCGATACCATGGCAACGTTGACAGTGGCAGACGCGATGATGATGGTAGCGATGCTGGCGGCGATGATGACAACGACGACAGCAAGACCAGTGATGGCGCCGATGCGAGTCACGCCAACGACGATGACGGCGCCCTCGCGTCGGTGGTGGATGTTTTGGAGGGGGATCGGCATGCGCGCGCGGCCGACGCACGAGAGTGGCCCGCATGGTATTCATTTGCACCGATCGTGCCCCCCTCCCCCCCCCCACCAGCACGCGCGCAAGGGCGTTCGGAGGGTTTCGACGTGCGGCGCGGGGGCCCGTTTGGCCGAACTTACTGAACATGTTGAAAAGTCATGGTTCCCGTAAGAATTCGCAAAAGCGCGAGCGCAAGCACCTTTCGGACATTGATTTTGCAAAACCATATGGTGTCATATGTTTCCGGGGCAGTCGACTATGAAACCCTTTTCGAAACCTACGGGACTTGAAGGATGTCCGCATGCGTGCGCGACGACGCGCGCGTGTGCATTTTATTTGTTCTGTTGCATTGAGATTTTGCGACAGCACGCGCGCAAGGGCGTTGGATCGATTCCGACATGCGCGCGCGAAAGGCCTGTTCCCATTGGGTCCCCAAGAACTCGCAAGAGCCCGAGCGCACGGTCGTAATGGAAAACTCGCGTTCCGACACCAGGTTTTTGATGTATGTTTTCTTGGCACCCGATTTTGCAACCCTTCCGACACCAAAGTTTTTTGAAGGATTACGGCATGCGCGCGCGACGACGCGCGCGTGCGCATTTTGTAAGTGTTTTGTTGTTTGTGTTTCGTTGTTGTTCCAGTGGTTTTTGAAAGTTTCTGCTTATTGATAAACGAGTGCGCGCGCATAGTACTTTCTGCCAGGGATGAATAATGATGGTGTGGCGGTGCCGGCTTGCCCGGGATGGCGCGGTCTCATATTTAGAATGGACCATACGGCAAAAGTGTATGTAAAATGTCAATTTCAATACGGAACGAGGGTTCGTCCATTCCGAAAAGATGGGTGGGTGGTAGGGTATATGCAAATATTGTGTTACAAAAATGAGAGTATATGTCGCGCAACCCATCGTGTACAACGCAGGTAGTGCAATATAGGTTGCGCAGTGCATGTGGGGCCAAATTTGTGGCGCGAGATTGGTGTGTTCTTTGTTTGTATAAATTGCGCAACATGCGTCGTGCAAATTATGGTTTGCAACATACGTAGTCCAATCTAGGTTGTGCAACATATGGTTTGGAATTGATTTTAACAAACGAGTTGACACATCCCGCGCTCTTGCAAGCATCCCACCCACCCACCCGCAACTTGGTTTGCAAAACCCACGACGACGACGACGACACCGACGACGACGACGACGACGACGTCAACGAGGGAGGAGGGAGGACGACGACGGCGACAACGACGACAACGATGACAACGACGAGGGAGGGAGGACGGCGACGACGCGAACGACGAAAAAGAAGGAAGGACGGCGACGCCGACGACGACAACGACGAGGGAGGAGGGAAAACGACGACGACGACAACGACGAGGACGACGACGACGACGGCGCGATAGGAGGGACGACGATGAGACGCCGACGACGGACGACGACGACGACGACGACGAGGGAGGAAGAGGAAGGACGACCACGGCGACTTTGACGACCACGACGCCAACGAGGACGACGACGACGAACACGAGGAAAGACAGACGACGACGTAGGCGAGGACGACGACGACGCGGGAGGAGGGAGGACGGCGACGACGACGACGACGACGCAAGAGCGCGCGCGCACGCTTTTGTTGAACATCCGTGTTGCGAAACCTTGTGTTTTTGTAGGTTTTTTGGACACGATTTTGAAATCCTTCCGAAACCGATGGTTTTTGAAGGCTTTCGGCATACGCGCGCGGCGACGCGCGTGTCTGCACTTCGTTTTATTTGTTACAGAGGAGTCTCGCGACGGCACACGCGCAAGGGCGTTCGACAGATTTGAAAGAGCGTGTTCTACCGCTGCTGGCGGAAAACCAGGGGGGGTCACTACCGGTTCGAACCCCTCCACCCCCCCCCCCCCCTTCCGGAAAACCGGGGGGGGTCA